CGCGCCCCGCCCCTCGCGCGCAAGCCCGCGCGGGGCACGCCGGGAAAGCGAGTGCACCGCCCTCTCGGAGCCCTCCGGGAGGAAACCTGCCCCCTCCCCGCGGGGACTCCCGCTCCCGGCCTGCCTCGCGCAGGCGCGGGCCGAGGCGGAAGGCCATCCCCCCCCTCACGCGCGGGGCACCCCGGGAGATGGAGTCCCGTCCCCTCCGCGACGCGGATGCCCTGGCCCCAGGGCCCGCGGGGACTCCCTTTCCCGGCGGGCACCGCGCGCGCGCTGAGCTTCTCTCGAGACGCCCGGCCAACCGTGTCTCTGGGCATGCACAGAGTGCTTTCCCCGCTGTCTTTTGCCACCTATAGATTTATAAATAAATCGACAATTTTGCTATTTGCGCTTGGGTTCAGCATTCTGGCCCCACCCCCATTTACAGTTCAATCTAAAAAAAAATTTTATTCTGTTAAAAGTGATTCAATTCTTCTATTTATTACTATCTATCCAATTGTCAGAAATGGGGCACGGTCCACGGTTCGACTGGATGACCTCTAAGACCCCTTCCAACTCTGTTAATCTAATCTAACCTAACCTATCATCTATCTATCCATCCATCCTCAATCCATTTGTCAGAAATGGTGTAGGTTCTCCTGCTTGGGCAGGGGGTTGGACTAGACGACCTCCAAGGTCCCTTCCAACTCTAATTTAATCTACCACCTATCTACCTCTATCCATCCACCTGCCTACCTTATCCTGGGGACCTACAACCTCCATGCCATTCCTCACCCTTCTTTAATCCTCCTTTCTATTTTGCTTTCCATTCCCTCTTTTATATATTTTCTTTAATTTCATTCATCTTCACTAAAGGAAAACTACTCCAGGTCCCCACTCTTTAATATAATTTTGTGTAAAGGAAAATAACCTTTGTTATTTCTCAGTTACTATTGATTATTTACTAACTTTCCCTATATTATGGCCCCCCCACATAAGGCAATGCATTTAAACGTGCATTAAAATACATACATTATATATATAATATATAATATATAATAATATATAATATATATATATATAAATCCGACAGCAAACGTGGCTGTATTTTTAACAATATTTGAATGGCAATTGATTTAAAAAAAAAAACTCACCAAACCCGTCATTTTTTCAACGGATGCAAAAAGTTTGGGTCCTTGACTTGTAACCATTTCATTTAGCGACCAAAGTCTGAAAACAAAAGTGATTTACAACCCCGTCGTCCTATTGCAACCTTTGCAAACTCTTGCAACAACATTTTCCCACTTGGGCATTTGACAAGCCATGTGTGTTTACAAATGGTTGCAGCGTCTCTTTTGTGATGGTCTAACCGCCTTGGTGAAAGGAGCAGCGGCAAAATCAGGAGGCGGCTCACTTAAAGAACCACCTTGCTTAGCGACGGAAATTCTGCTCCTTCCCGACCCCAATTGCGGTCGTAAGCCGAGGATGAACCGTTCACAGAAAGGGAGCTAAAATCTTTTAACACGTTCACAGTGTGTTGGAGTCTTCCTTCAAAGGAAGTGCCCTATATAAATCTAATAAACTTTAATTAATTGAGGTAGGAGCATTTGTTGTTGTTTCTTTTCGTAGCCCGAAGCTACCGCCTGTCCCGGCAGGCCAGATTTTTGCAAATGAAGCAAGGCAATCATTAAACAAACACACACACACACACACACACACACTCAGCAGTCTTAACAGAAGCACAATTAAATCCTGCGGCAATAAAAGACGCATTAAGGGTGCATGTGGTGCAGCGTGCATGGAATTATTTTTAAGGGGGGGGGGGAACCACCATTAAATTACAATTAAATTCAGCACCTTTGAAAGCTGGAGCTACGCAACACACACACACACAAAATGCCAATTAGAGCACACACTAAATTGCACCCTGCATCAACTCCACTGTGCATTAATTAAGATTTAGAGCGGATGAGGGTGATCAAATCAGGCCCATTCTCAATTTTTAATTCAGCCGATAAAAGCCTTAGGGGATTTGATGCCAGGCAACAACTGCAGCTATTGTCTTACTTACAGGAGGTATGTGTGTGTGTGTACACATACACACAAAAACCACACACAAACACACACACAATAAAAGGGAGAGGAGAGTGGTGTGGTGGCCTAGAAATAGAGTCACCTCACAATCAGGAGGCTGTGGGTTCGATCCTAGGTAGACCAATATTTTTCTCTCTGGGCTCAATGAGAATATTATCTGCTGAACAAAACTCTGTGTTAGTGACAGGAAAGGCATCCGGCCAGTAAAAGGCTCAGCTCCATTCAGTTGCCCAGACTCCACCCAGCAAGGGATTATGGGGTCATTAGATGATGATGTACAATAAAAGGGAGAGGGGAGGGGGCGACTGCTCTGAATCCCTCCACAGCCCAGATAAAATATCCCTCCCCTAAGGACTAGAAACTTGGGAGGCTTGGAAGCAATCCACTTCCCGCCAAAAGAACCCCCAACAGGCAATCCTCAACTTAATGACCACCACAGAGGCCCAACGTATCTGTTACTAAGCGAAACAGTCGTTAAGTGCACTTTGCCCCATTCTGCGACAGCAAATCGCCGCAGCTGTGATGCTAGTCCCACGGTTGTTAAGCGAATCCGGATTCCCCCTTGACGTCACTCGGCAGAAGGGGATCACGTGAAAACTCCCCTCCCCAGGGGACGCCACAACCGTCGTGAACACGAGTCGTTTGCCAAATGTTTGAATTTTCATCACGTAGCTGCGGGGATGCCGCAATGGTCATTAAGTGTGAAAAACGGTCCTAAGTCCCTTTTTTTCCAGGGCCGTTGCAACTTTGAACGATCACTAAGCAAACTGTCGTAAGTCAAGGACTGCCTGTACCGCCATTTCACCATCTGTGCTGGAAATTGCAATTTTAACTTAAGAATTTTCACTTTAACTGCAATTTTCACTTTAACTTACCAATTTTAACTTTAACTGAAATTTTCACTTTAACTTAAGAATTTTAACTTTAACTGAAATTTTCACTTTAACTTAACAATTTTAACTGAAATTTTCACTTTAACTTAGCAATTTTAACTTTAACTGCAATTTTCACTTAAGAATTTTAACTTTAACTGCAATTTTTACTTTAACTTAACAATTTTAACTTTAACTGCAATTTTCACTTTAACTTAACAATTTGAACTTTAACTGCAATTTGAACTTTCACTTGAAAATTTTAACTTTAACTGCAATTTGAACTTTCACTTGAAAATTTTAACTTTAACTGCAATTTGAACTTTCACTTGAAAATTTTAACTTTAACTTGAAAAATTTAACTTTAACTGCAATTTGAACTTTCACTTGAACATTTTCACTTTAACAACTGCAATTTGAACTTCCCGAGTTTGCTAACCATCTAAGCGATGGATCCGCTTGGGGTTCCCATTTGATCCCAGATCTCCAAGTTAAGGAAAGCACTGGGGGTGGGTGGGAACCCACCAAGGATCCGTTTCCCACCCACCCCAAATCACGACAGGAATAAACACAGCACAGGAACTGTGTGGAGTTAAAAAAAAATTTAAAAAAATGCTTTTATTAGATTGCTCAAAACTAAACTGAGTCCCAGCTTGTCAGTTCAAATGCTGCACATACACACAACCTTCATTCCCGTTTGCAAAGAGTTGTCGCCTCTCCACGCAACCCGCCAGGAACACATTCCCCGTTGCAAACTTGGGAACGCTGCAGAATTTGCAAATATATAGATATAAAACAAAACAGCCCCCGTTGTTTTTTCCCCCTAGATGCATCAGATTCTATCTCCCATCTTCCCCAGCGGGCTGGGAATGATGGAAGTTGTGATGCAGGGACCTCTAGGAAAAAAAAAATCCCAATTAGGAAACGTTTTTAATAGCACACCTGGGCAGAGGGCTAGATTAAAAAAAAATGTTCTGTGCTACAAAAAAAAGAAAAGAAAAGAAAACTTTCAGAACTTTAAAAAAAATGTAAAAAGGAACGCGGGAAATTTCTTTGCGGCCTTCACTCCTAGATTTTATTCCCCCCATTCAATAAAATGCAGAAAACGTGACCATCCCATGCTCCTTTCGTCCCGCCTTCCCGGTTCCTGAGGCACGAGATGAAGAGGCTTTCTACAAGCTGCTTTCCACACACCCAAAAATAATAATAATGCATTCGTTCGCGGCCTTCTTTTAAAACGGAAAAGCTTCTAGGCATTTTTTGCCAGCGTCCTTTTGCATTTTTCGCAAATTTTGGGATTTAACTCAACGCAGAAAAATTTGAGCCCAGATTTTAAGGGCCACTGTCTACTAACCAAGATTCCCAAATTCCTTACAGCTTTGTTAAAAGCCTCAATAAGCCGTGCAACCAGTTAGACTAACCCCGATCCAGGACTTTTCCTAGTAACCTGGTTAAGCCTCGTTTCTGAAGCTGCGTGACCGAGCGACCAAATCCATCAAGGACCACGGATTGGCAGCGCCTCCTGGCCCAGCTTAGCCCTTTGGCGACTTATTCAGCTGCCCATGTCGGTTCAACTGCAGCTTTGCGTAACCAGGTTCCTCCGTAAGCCATCATGTGGCGCTCAAATTGGCCCGGTATTTAGCCAGCGTCGTTTGGAAACTAATTAAAACTAAAGCATCGGAGCAAGCCAGCTTTAACGATGATGGCCGAGTCGAGAAGCAAACAAACTTGGATTGCCCAGGGATGAGACAGCCTCAAACTCTTGTCAAAGATGCGGAAAGGATGCTAAACTAAAAAAAAAAAAAAAAAATGCCCCCCTTTTTGCTTTCCCACGTCGGTCGAACATTTAAGGCACTGGAGACAAAAAATGAAGGCACTGTGGTTCTCTCGCTCCGAAGTTGAACGGTTGGCACCAAAAATATATCTTTCCACCCTCCCCACCCCAACCTGGTTTATTAAACCAACCCAAACAGTCCCGTTTGCCACATAAACGGAAGTCCTAACCCCACCGCAGAGCTCCGAAATGACCCAGCAGGAAATATTTTCCAGTTTCCACGGAGCTTCCGTCGTGTGGGAATCCTCGTTCTGATCCTCCAGGGTGGATTGGCAGAAGGTTTGACGGATGGGCCTGGATATCAAATGGAGCTCAGACCGAGTTTTTCAAGGGGGGAGGAGGGGGGGGAGGGGGGGGAAGGGGGGGGTTGGCAGCCCCGTTAAGACGGAGATAGCCAGAATTGACGGGAGTCGGTTTTGGGCAACGGGAAACCGAGGAAAAACATTTGGCAAACTCCGTAAGGCGGAATCGGCGGCAGGACGGAGGATGCTTCCTGCAAAGCGTGTGTCCGCTAGGAGGGGGCTGGGTTGTTGTTTTGTTTTTTTTCCTCCCCCTGCCCCGCGCCCGACACCCGACTCAGATCTTCACGAACAAAACGCTGGTGACCAGGGCGAATCCGAGCAGCAGAACGATGACTTTCAGGATGCGTTGCTCGGAAGAGCCGAGTTCGTGGGGCAGGATCTCCAAAAACGTGATGTAGACGAAGGTTCCCGTAGCCAAGCCTTCCAGGACGCTGCGGGAGAGGCGGGACAGAGCCGCCATGGGGACCTCGGTCAGGGACACGCCCAGCCCGATGCCGAACGGAGACATGGCGGAGAAGAGAACCAGGCAGATGGCCACGACCCGGGGACGCAGCCTCCCTTGCAGGAGCTTGAGGCTCAGGCTGAAGGCGATGGCTCCTTTGTGGATGAGGAGAGCCACGCAGATCTCCAAGGCCTGGGCGCCGTCTTCCTGCAGCCCCACGGCCAGCCCTTCGAAGATGGAGTGGAGCGAGAGGGCCAGGAAAAGCACCACCAAGCGGATGGCCGAGTGGGCGTTGAAGTCCACGTGGACGTGGGTGCGCTCGGCGGCCAGGCGGTCGCGAGCCAGGGGCCGCTGGGATCCCTCGGGCCAACTCTGGTCCTGCTGCAGGGAAGGATGCGAGTGGGAAGCGTTGCTCAAGAGGGCCTCGGTCTCTTCCAGGGATCCCGAAGGGTCCTTGTAAGCCAACACGATCTGTTCCAACACCAGAACGACGAAGAAGCCCATGGCCAGGATGAATTCCTGCAAGGGGAAACGGAGCTGTCCCGGGGAAGAGAGGGAGGGAAGGAGACCATCATCGGAGGCCCCTGGGACAGATTCCGACTTCCCCTTCTCAGCTAAGACAGGACCCTCCTAAAATCTCTCTCCGCCGTTCTTCATTCGGCGAACGGCTAATCTCACACGGGAAAAAAGAACAGCAAGCCGACCGTCAAAAAAATGCGACGATCGGGAAGGAGCGCTCGGAAGCCAGGGGCTGAGCCAAGCAGGCTCTCCCTTAAGCAGTCAGGACTCCTAAAAGAGAACCTGCATGTGGAAAGGCAGTCTACCAGAGAAGCTACACACTCATTTGTGGATCGGCAGCGTTTGGTCAAGCCACCGAAGGAACGAGAAAGCTGCTCCCGCGGACTTGCCGGAAAACGGATTTCTCCTCCCTCTCTGTTAAAACATCCCCTGCAAATCTTGTCTTCTAATTGCAAAGGGATTAATTAGCACCCATTTACATAAAACACTGGGTGACAAGGGGCCCCCCCCCCCCCCCCCCCCGGCAATCACACAAGCCCAAAACGAGGCGTCGATACCCTCGAAAACCAAAAATGCGCTCAACTTTTCCTTTCGAGAGAATTAAAACCTAGAATTGAGGATTTGCAATGGTGGCCGAGGTGGGATTCTACTGGTTGGTTCGGGCGAACGGGTTGTTCCGGCGATGGTTTGGTGCCGCCCACCTGCTGCGCGCGCTTACCAAACCGGTTGTTTACACCTGCTTGAATCCCACCACGGATTGTGGCCCCCCTTCCACAGCCTCACTCACCGTGACTCGCAAATCATCCAGGGCTTCGTTAATGCTGGTTAGATAAGTAGGAAGCAGGTCGAGAAGACAGGTCCCCAGGAAAATGCCGCCAGCAAAACAGCTGACCAATCTCAGGGTTTTCCTTTGAGGGCCTGTTGGAAGAAAACGGAGGGCAGAGGGGGGGAAAAATTAAAAAGCTTTGGTTAGCATTAACCGCAAGGGGTGGGATTCAAATTTCTTAACCACCAGTTCTGTGGCCGTGGCCTAATTTGTGGGTGTGGCTTGGTGGTCATGTAACTGGGTGGGTATGGCATGTATGTAAATATTGTAAATATTGATGTAAATATTGAATTTTTTATTAAAAAAGAGAGCCACTTTTACCCAAAACCAGGCAAAGCAGGCAGGCAGATTGAGTCGTTCGCAGAATCACAGATTCACTCAGAGATCTATCTTTCTGCCATCTGCTGCCTGAGTCTGCACTGAAAAAATAGAAGCTTCGGTCCTAAGGAAGCTTTTAGATTAGCTAGAAAGCAAGAAATCCAGCTGGTAGTTGGAACAATATCCAAATATCCAAACTACAGATTGGATTCTATCCAAATCCAAATATAGAACATTTAAAGAAAAGAAAAAAAACTTTTCTCCACAGCTTCTGGTTTGTTGTTTTCAGCCATTCTTTGGCATGTCCTTTAAAAAAGAAAAAGGAAAAAAGTCTTGTCAGCTGCTTTTTTCCTCTTCTTTGCCTCTTTTTCCCCCCAAAACACGAGTTCCTTCGTTTTGTTTTTTTTCTCCCCCAAGAAAAAAAGAAAAGATTATTTATATCGGAAAGCGCACATCCTGATCGCTGGCCTCTCCCCTTAAGCGAAAACCATGTTTTTGCTGGAGTTTTTCTTGAGATCAGGAATGTCCAATAAATATTTAACTTCCTGTTTTTTTATTATTTAGGCAGGCAAGAGAGAGTGGCTGAAAACTAAACCAGGCAGTTTCGATCAGTCAGTATTTGACCCCAAATTTTAACCGAGGGCCTATGCTTGTGATGCCTTTTTTTAAAAAACGCTCTTCTTAAAAACAAGAGTTTCTGAAAACTGCAAATAACACCCCCCTATCTATTGCTGCTCTTCTCCCCAAGGCCAAAGGAAAGATTAAATGTTCAAACGGTAAACTTACGCAGGATTTTGAAATAAAAGCAGATGAAGCAACTCACCACTAGCCCCTTCACACCCCCAACCTGGGGGATAAACAGCCTCTAACTGGGTCCCTCTGGGAAGGGACTCAAAACAAAACGTGTTCTTTTTTTAAAAAGGCGTTCAGATTCTGATTCAGTTCTGATTCTGAATAGTTCTGATTCATTGAGATTCAGTTCTGATTCTGTTTCAGTTCGGATTCTGATTCAATTCAGATTCAGTTCGGATTCAAATTCAATTCAGATTCAATTCTGATTCAGTTCAGATTCTGATTCAATTCAGATTCAGTTCTGATTCAGATTCAGTTCTGATTCTGATTCATTTCTGATTCAGTTCAGATTCAGTTCTGATTCTGATTCAGTTCAGATTCATTTCTGATTCAGTTCTGATTCTATTTCAATTCAGATTCAGTTCTGATTCTGGTTCAGTTCAGATTCAGTTCTGATTCTGATTCAATTCAGATTCAGTTCTGATTCTGTTTCAGTTCAGATTTAGTTCTGATTCTGTTTCGATTCAGTTCTGATTCAGTTCAAATTCAGTTCTGATTCTGTTTCAATTCAGATTCAGTTCTGATTCTGATTCTGATTCAGTTCAGATTCAGTTCAGATTCAGTTCTGATTCTGTTTCAATTCTGATTCAGTTCTGATTCTGATTCAATTCAGATTCAGTTCTAATTCAGTTCTGATTCTGATTCAGTTCAGATTTAGTTCTGATTCTGTTTCAATTCAGATTCAGTTCTGATTCAGTTCAAATTCAGTTCTGATTCTGTTTCAATTCAGATTCAGTTCTGATTCTGTTTCAATTCAGATTCAGTTCTGATTCAAATTCAATTTGGATTCCATTCCATTTATTTCAATTCCGACTCAACCCTGATTCCACCAGGCATGGATTGGACCCCTGGAGACCCAGCAAACCCCCCAAAAAACTTACGCACCAAAGCTTCCACTGTTGAGGGCAGAGCCCGGCCTCCGGAACAGCCAGAGCGGGATGAACGCACAAAGCAGCGTCACCACCAACAGCAGCACCAGGGACCCCAGCTTCAGCTCCAGGGCCTGCACCGAGCGCGTCGTGCTCTCGTACGGGTTCCACACCAGCTTGGTGTCCATTTTCGTATCCGAGTCCCACGATCCAGCCATCCCGAACATGCGCCAATCCACAGACTGTTCAATTTGCGGGAAGGGCAGGTCTCCCAAATTTGCCAAGCGGGTCCCACACGCGGTGTTAAGACCGTGGCGCCCTCTCCATGCTCCGTTGGTTTCGACGCGTGCCGACCGTCACACCACGAAGCCAACCTGGAGGAAGAAACGGGGGAGGGGTGAGAAACGTTTTACAGCGTCTTCGCTTAGCGGCCATTCCAAGTTACGACCAACTTTTCAAAAAAGTCAAAGTTTTGAAGCTCCAACTATCACAATCACACTCCGGACTCCCATCTGAAGTCAGAAACGGTGTAGGGTCTCCTGCGTGGGCATGGGGTTGGACTAGATGACCTACAAGGTCCCTTCCAACTCTGATTACCTGTTACCTGTTAAGTATTCTATTCTATCCTAAGTAAGACCACCATTATTAAATTATCATTATGCAATTAGTGGCTTGGTTTGTTTGTCGATGCCCAGAGCTGCTTGGATATGAATCGGATTAATAAATACATAAATGATTCAAAGTTAAATGTAGTTGGTACTATAAGAAAAGAAAAGAAAAGAAAAGCAAAATTAAGCATTTTCCCCCAAGTTTTCCCAAATAAATGCTAAACTACCCTACAGTTATTCCGTTCGTGGAATTACCAGGTGTTCCTTCCCAAATTATTTTGCTTTTTTCCCCTCCCCCCGCCCAGTCTGAAGATTTGACAATCCAGATAGTCCTCGAATTACGGCCATTTTTTCACGTTTACGACCCTTGCAGCATATTTACGACGGTTTTGTAAGATCCCCTGTTGCAACGGGGAAGCTGGACGAACTTCCCAACCTCAACTGGGAGTGTTCCACTTAACGACGGAGGCAAGAAAAACAGTAAAATGGGGGCAAAAACTCCCTTCGCCATAAAAAATCCGAGGCTTCATTTTGGGTCGCAAGTCAAGGACTACTCTGTAATAATTTTTTTTTTTTAATGTCAGCCAGCAACCCGGAGAGGAAGCGCCATATAGGAGTGAGTCAGTGACTGATTCCAGTAATTTGCCATTTCCAAGCAGAGGGGAAAAAGCAGCTGTTAACCTCCCAAACCCATTTTCGACCCCTCCTGATTTACACCCAGGGTCAAACAGAAGGGAAAACACACAAACACACACACACAAGATTTTAGGACAAGTTTGCAGAGATTCTGGGAAACGGCCCAGGCGGGTCTGGGATCCGAGAAGTTCTTTTTTTTTAAAAGAAAAAGAAAAAAAAATTACATTTCAATGATTTAATTTGCTGCCAAGATAGACCGCTAGGAAGAAAAAGGAACAAAACAAGTTAGTGGGATTTTTGCCAAGTTGCGGGAACTAAATTTAAACCGAGGTTTCAAGTCACTTCCCCTTAGTTGCATTTTTTTTTTAAACCGAGGTTTGTTTTGTTTTTTGCAGAAGAAATCATAAAATGGGGAAATTAGGCAGATATATTGAAAACAGGCTCATAAAAGTTTTGTTAGCTTTGCTGGCCGGTTTTTAAAAGAGCTTCCATGGGTCAAGGCAGTATACCTTTCAGCATCCTTTCCAGCTTAAATTCCAGTCTCCATCAATCCCACAATATTGGGGCTAACGGGTTGAAATTCACAATTCAATGTTGTGATTCCGGCATCTGCTACAGGTTTTTTGAATGACAGCTCCAGCGAGGAGGACTTATATGAATCAGCAAGTTCTAACGATGAGGAGGAGATGAATGCATTTGATTTGCAAGGTCGGCTTGAACCTTCAAACTCCTCCACCCTTCAATTAGGTGGTCAGCCGGGAACGGGTGATAATGAGGAACAGATGATATCTTCAGGTGAAGAAGATGATAATTTGGATGATTGCTGGGTAGATGTCAGGACAAGACGTCTCCTGACAAGGAGGAACCAACGAGGATACAGTAGGAGGGCAGACCAGCAATTAGACTAATTAGTTACTCTATAAAGGGAGAGATATGACTTTGCACTTTGTCCGGAACAAAGTGTCTATTTGCAAGAGAGAACTGAAAAGCACAGTCTGGAGGATTTTGATCTGAAATATCTTGTTGGGATTTGGATTTAATTCGTTGGAACTTCTACTTATTGGAATTATTTTGTGAAGGATTTTGATCTGAAGAATCTTGTTGAGTCTTGGATTTAGTTTGTGGGAACTTTTACTTATTGGAGCTATCTGTGAACATTTTCCTGTTTGCTGCCTTTCTTTACAAGGACTGCTGCTTTCAGCCTTAACTGTTTATTTTTAGAAGGTGGGACATAACAATTCAATATCTGTCAGTTTATCTTTGGATTTTGCCCTAAGACTTTCTTCCCTATTCAATTTTGATTTTTTTATTTTAAATGCCTTTTTAGGAGCTGAACTACTGAAATATTCCCCCAAAATCTAGCCAGCCAAGCTAGAAACAAATTTGTTTAAACACAGTTCATTTAAATAGCGTTTATAATTTATAAATATAAATGATACATAAATATATATATATTTCTTAGCTAAACATCAAAGCCCAGCCCTGATTAAAACACTGCCAATCATTACATTGTAATGTTTGTTTTTAACTTATGTTTTAACAGATGTAACTATAAACCACTCAGAGTTAGCCTATGGTAAATATGGGAGGTTAATGTTTTTATAAATAAAAATAAATCAATGTGGGTTTATTTTTTGATTTTTTTTTGTAAATAACATCTTTTGAGAACCAGATCTTGAAAATTCACTAAATTTGGATTATTCAGACCCACCTTGGGAAACTTCAGGAGAAATTGAAAAGGGTGGGATTTTCCGATAAGTGGAATATTAATTTAATTATCAGTTTTACCACCTCATTTTCCTCCTACAAAACAAACAATGATAACCCCTGATTCAAGGACAAGCCAAACCCTGAATGGATCATGTGCCGTTAAACTACCAGCAACAGCCAAGTCACCTGAGTTCTGCAGGTAGACTTTTAACTTACATCCAGCAAGGAATATGGGAATTGTGGTTCCGTTTTCTAGGCTGCAAACACCACGCAAACTGACTGTGGAATTAAAAACCCCAGGAATAAATCTAAAATAATATTCTGTTCTGTTGGAAAGGAAGGTTATCATCTCTCCTTTTGTATCCCGGGGTTAGTTTTTTTCCCTAGCTTAAACCACGATAGGAGAGAAAAACTAATCAATCAATCAATCTCCATTTCTACAAAGAGAAAGAAAGTAATTAAAATGAATCCTGGCTTATTCAACATCCCATATTAAATTTGAATTAAAAACTCTGTGAGGCTAAGTACACGAACCAGGGATACAAAAAATAATAATAATTCCAAATTACGCAGCTCATCTCCCATAA